CATCCAAATTTACCTTCCAACTATGAAAATTTGGTAATACACCACCATATTGTTTGATATTGAATTAAAGTACACTTCTCATTTAATAATGTTAAATTCAGAACAGAGAGGCGAGAAGGCGTGCAATGAGATACATAGACCATCTCTTCTTTAAAAAAAAGAAAGAGTTTCACCTATATAACCTACTATCCTAAATATCTATTTTTCACTAATTTCTATGGTGCTATTTGGCAAAGGATTAAAATTAATTTAGTTCTATTTAGATTTGATAGGCATGTTTTTTTGTATTTGACAAATGAAAATGGGTTGAGGTTTTCCGTATCACAAATAGCATGAGTTAGTTATTATAATATTCTTTTATAAAGTTTCATATCTTACATCTTATGTCAAGAGGGAATAAATCCTAACATGCTTCCTTAGGAGGACTAGATTTTATACACGTGCAATGCACGTGGTTAAATATCATGATTAAGCTTTTTTGACTTATTTTTTAACTAAAATTTGTTCCTCAGTTCCACTTTAATAGTTTGTACTCACTTTTGTCTCTAAACTTTTATATCGTGATTTTTTTCTATTTGTTTAAATGTGCTACACCCAATTTAAATTTTTATTTTGATATTTTAATTGACAGAAAACAAATAGAATTTGAAGTTAATTTGAATTTTCATATTATTTTGACCGATATGAAACCAAGCTTTACTTGAGAAAGTACAATATTGCAAAAGTAAAAATATTAAAATAGTGTTAGGTGAGTATTTAATACCAATAAAGCAAAATGATTGATTAAAAGTATGCTAAAATGATATAAAAAAAATATAAAGTTTGTTCCTAATCATTGATGGACTTCATAAAAAATTATAAATTAAATATTAATGCGAACTCCAGTACTTTTATATGATAAAAACATCCACACAAGCATATAAAAATACTAAAAAAAGTTCATAAAACTCCATTGTAAAGATTTCTAATTTCACTCAAAATAATTAAACTATTCTATAATATATTTAAGAAAAAATTGTCTTTTTTTCCTTCTGTTTTATTTTTTATTGAGCTAAGATCAATTCTTCTTCACTATTTTCTTTTTCCCGGGCAATTCTAGAGTAGTGGCTTCATCAACTATATCGATTGTGACATCAAGCTAGAATTGTATTTTTTATGCTGTTATCTTTCATTGGCTCGTTAATCTTTTATCTACTTATTTAACTTTTCAAGAATTCAAATGTATTTCCCATGTTTAAATATATATATATATGAAATTCTTTGTGATCCTAATTTAGTACTTAAATAAGATTAGATGCTACCTCTTTTTTTTCCTATAATGAATTTTTCTGATGTGCATCCAATGAGAGTTTCTGTTATGTCAATAATATTACCTTTGCTCTATCCCTGTTATTTTTCACAAAGATCTAAATTAAATACTTGTATTTTTTTATTACTAATTTGCCATAAATTATAATATTAATATTTAATTTCTTTAGTATTTGAAGAACAAAGTATGAAATTTATGAATACTTACTTAATTTCTTTAGTATTTGAAGAACAAAGTATGAAATTTATGAATACTTACTAATTTTTTTATATCTTCCATGGAGAATTCTTTTTTGATTGGGATAAAGTTGTTAAATTATTTTTTAACGCAACTAAGTCGATGCTTCTTTCATAGATATGCTTTATGTTAATGCCAATTCAAGTGATTTATGGACATTTTTTGAATTTTAAATTTATTTCCGTTGGTTTCTCATTTACAATGAAAATAGCTTAATTCTTTTGAAGGGTATTTCTGAATATTCTAATAGGTTCTCTATATATAATTCCTTGTATTCTTTTATCTTATAAATATTATTAACATAAAAAATTAATGTTTCTAAATTATAATTAATTAATGCTAAGCTATTATATTATAATATTTTATTATTTTTATGGATTTAAACATTTATCAATTAATTTACTAATGTATTTTTCCTGCTCTAATTTATTAGTAAAATTATACGCAGTGATTTTAATTTATATAATAGCGATAATTTTAAGCTATAATATTTTTTAAAATTTTATTTCTTAACTGAATGTTTTAATCAATTCTTATTGCTTTTGTTTACCAGTATCAAGTTATACTATTTTTAGATGCTGAAAATGGATTGATAGTAAACCCTAAATTGGAAAATACACACACACAAACACACACACACACACACACACACACACACTCACTCACTCACTCACTCACTCACTCACTCACACACATATCTTAATGAAAAAATACCAACAATTACACTTTTCTTTGCCAAATTTTAAAATTTCAGTCATTTTTTATGGTTTTGAACTTTGAGAGTGTGATTTGTAGTTTTTAAAACTTTGGGATAGTTTTTTTTTTTTTAAATTCTTTTAAGTTTGGTAGTTGTAACTTCTATGTTTCATGTATTAGTGGTAATTTTTTTTAAATGTCAAGATATTTCTTATAACTTTAAAAATTTGAGGGTGCTTTTTATAATTATTAAAACTATAGATTAATTTTGGAAAATTTTAAATTTTCAGCAGTCAACTAATAGTTTCCAGATTTGATGTGTACTTGTTAATTTTTTTGAAAATTTAGAGTTTTTTTTATGATTTTTAAAACTTGAAAGAGTTTTTTATAATTTTTGTAACTTTAAGGTTAATTTTGATAAATTTTAAAATTTTAGGTATCTGAGGGTAATATCTTGAATTTATCTTTTATTATTTGTAAATTTTAAAATTTTAGAATTTTAGGATGAGTTTTTATAATTTAAACTTTTGTGGTTGTTTCCATAATTTTTGAGATATTGAGGGTGTTAATTAAAAAATTTAAATTCTTCAGAGGCTGCTATTAATTTCTTAATTTCATGTTTGTTATTTTAAGTTTTAAAATGTTAGAAGTTTTTGGGTGCATCATGGTAATCCCTTAAATTCATCTATGTTGTTTATAAGTTTTAAAATTTTAGAATTTCAGGGTGCTTGTTTGTGAACTTTTGATGATGTTTCTATAATTTTTGAGACATTGATGTGCTAACTGCAAATTTTAAATTCTTCGCAAACTGTTGTTAATTTCTTAATTTTATGTTTATTATTTTAAAATTTGAGACATCACAATGGTTTTTATAGTTTTAAACTTTTTAAGATATTTTGTGCAATTTTAAAACTTTTTAGGGTTTTTTTGCAATACTTCATGTATTATAGTATGTGAGATTTTGTGCAATTTTAAAACTTTTTAGGGTTTTTTTGCAATACTTCATGTATTATAGTATGTGAGCTACGTATAATTTCTTTATCTGTATTATAGTATGTGAGCTACGTATAATTTCTTTATCTTAACAAACTAATACCATAAAGATATTTTATGTTTTTTATTATATTATTTTTAAATTATTAAGCTATAGATAATTCTCGTAGGATTAAGATAGAATGTAATTATGATTAGGATAGATTACGATATAAATAAAATATTTAAAACAGTGAAGGGTAATATTGACCATTGAAAGATTTTTCTGAACTCGTGATTTTAAAGGGAGTATGATTTGTAAACCCCTCTAAATAAGGGATTAACTAACTTTAACCCTTGAAAAAATTTTATTAGCCCTTTAATTAAATTAACCTGTTTAGAAGGTTAAGAAGAGATAAAATACCCATAATTCTTTTCTTAACTCATTGCCAAATAGGGCCTACAGATCTCAATGGTACTAAATGACAGGGGCATGAAATCCAATGTGCAAGAATGCACGGTATAATAGTTCATACTTGGAGGGTAAATTTGCAAACATAACTAGTAATTGACTTGGCGTTGCAAACATTTTACACTTTTCTACCTGAAGCTTTAATTTTTTTTTAAAACAAACTAACTAGCTGCCAAGTGTCAAAATATAATTAGACGAATAAATAGAAACTGGACCACGTAATTGATAAGTGTACCCAAAAAGTTCTTCCTTCTAAGGTCCAGGCTACAAACTAGAGATTTTTTTCCCCTCTCACCCAAAGTGCCGTATTTACTATCTCGAGGCAGCCCAATACACTTTGGAATCCAAGGGGATTGTAAAATTAAGTGTAATTTCTATAAATCTATGATTTAATTTCATGGATATATGTTGCTTTTAACGTATAAGATAATCACAATCTTATCTAGAAACTTGCTTAACGGATAGGATAATCACAATCTTATCTTGAAATTAATATATAATGTTGCCCATTTAAACTGGAGCCCAACAAAATAATTTGAATTTCTAATTTCTAATCTGATAATGTGATGCTATCCGGTTTAGAATGATAGGTAAATATTTAATTTCAAATTTAGAATGATAATATGTGAATATCTCTATTAAATTATAATATGACAAACGTGTGCAAATTATGTTAGATATTATGTATGTGAAAATATCATGCTAGATGTGATGATATGTGCACCATTCATTTTATCAATTGGGGCAAAAAGTTTCATTTCTCTTTCCAAAGATATTCTCAGATCCTATGGATCAAATAATATCTAAATCCTTATAATTAAGATAGTTTCTAGAACAAATGAAGGGTTATTTGCACTGTTATTTGTTTAAGAGAAAATTATGATATTATGAAACTATACTTTGTCAATTTGATACTTTATAGTGCAAAAGCATTAACGTTGATTTTAATCAATACTATTGAGGTAGCAAAATGAACAAGAAACAATTTTCTTTCTTTCTTTCTATTTGTTTTCTATACAAGAAATAATCTCTTTCAACTAATTTTTAGTTTTTTTTTAGATTGGGCAAAAAGCGAGGAACAGAGTTAGGCCTTTATAGGTATCAAATTGTTAAATTAACATCATTTTGAAAACTTTAGGGCACCAAACAGTCAACCAATCGAAAGTTTAAGGTTACTTTAGGAAGTGTAATTATAGCTTGGAAGAAGTCTGCAAAAATTAAAAACAGTAGAAGTTTAATGCAAAAATTTCAAAAAGAGCAGGTCTTTGCCAATCTTCCGATATCTATAAAGCAGCCCCTTAAACCCTTCCTCTCTTTCCTCTTCCTCCTGTACAACTGCGTGCCTCACCAAACTCTCTCCCAAAATATCCCCAGATGCTTCCCAATTTATCCACTCTAATTCCCAAAATACTCTCTTTCTCATTCTAAACTTTCTTCAATCCAATTTTTTCATCCCATCCATCACTTATTTTTGTGGGTTTTTTTTCGTTGGGTTAATAGTGAAGGAATCATGCCGCTTGATAAGAGCGAAGAGAGCGAGTTTGAGATGCTATTGAATGAGATCCCTCATGTAACATCATCTGATTACCATCATCATGACGGCCATCAACATCATCCGCATCGTGCATTGCCGTCGCCGTTGGCGTCCCATGACCTGCATGTCCACGGCCATGGCCATGGCATGGATGGTGTCAACCAATTGATGGATCATCTTCAATCGATGTACATCAATGAAAAATCCGTTGATCCGTTTCTCCTTCAGAGAAACATTGGGGGTTTATCTCCCAGAATCCCAGTTAATCCTTCTCCTCGCTCTGTTCTTCCCTTCAATGAAATCCACAATGTGGGTTTTTCTTCTAACTCAATTCCTGATGGATTTTACTCCTCAAAGATTAATGGGTTCGATCCATACTGGGATTCTAACGCTTTGAATCTCTCAAGTCTCCGATCCCCAACTAGATCCTTGTCTCCGGTTGAAAGCTTTCAAAATGTTGAGAGGTTTGATTACAATTTGAGGAAAAGGAGAGGATCTGTTAATTGGAGTTCGTACGATAATTTTTTGGGGAATATAGGATCCATTTATATCCTTGCAAAAGATCAGCATGGATGTAGGTACTTGCAAGGGAAATTTGATGAGGGGAAGCATCAAGTGGATTTGATCTTTGATGGGGTTATTGCTCATATTGGAGAGCTTATGACTGACCCTTTTGGGAATTATTTGATGCAGAAGTTGTTTGATGTTTGTAGTGAAGATCAGAGGATGACGATCCTACTCGTACTCACTGAAGACCCAGCGACAATCTTCAGAATTTCTCTGGACAGCCATGGGTATTTTGTCCGTCGACCATTTTCTATTTACTTTGAGTCAATTGGTATCATGTAGCATGCACAATGTTAGAGGCTTGTTTTGGGTTTCATGAACTGCCTCTCTCTAGACATTACCGTCATAATTTATCTAGATATACATTGTTATTGACAATTTAAATAAATTTAGTTAATTGTGTTTATGTATGCCTATATTATGTTCGGAGTATAGAGAAGGAAACTTGCTATATTGTTATGTTAAGAAGTGAGGGGAACAAAGCTGCCCAGGTCAAAAACTTCAAATCCTTGGGGATGCACATTCTGAATTTATTTCTCAATTTTGAAGGAGAACTGTGTATGTTTTTCACCAGTTGTATGAATTAGACTGTTTGAACATGAGTTTTCCGTGCATTGCAACTTGTTCTGAGGCTTCATGGGATTAGCACATCTAGTGTAGAGTTACTTTTCCAAGATTATAAGAATCTCTCTCTCTGAAGAATGATGATCATTATAATTTTGTTTTGTGCTTCAATTTGTGGGTGTTAATAATTTTGTGTAGTTTTCTATAAATAATAATGAGTTGTTTGTTATCTTTCTCAGTGAATTTTTTGACAGTTATTCTTATTTATTGTGCTCACCTTGAGCTCTATACTCAGCCCTCTTCCTGCATTGTGGTACTATAAAGTGTTAAAATAAGATTATAAAGGGAGCAATTTTGGACCAATTCATTTGTAGAGACTCCTCATCTAGTGGCAATGAGGAAATCTATAAATTACTCCTGGAAATTTGGAAGCTTGCTACCAAGAAATAAGTTTTCCTTTCATCTATGTCATGTTTCGACCATTAAAGCTTAGTGGCAAGCTCTTATCTTTCCTGTAGCTGCCTCTACCCAGTCTATGTAAAATTCTATAAAGTAGATGTATCAGATTGAAAAGCAACTAAAATCTGTTGTTGTTTCTTCCATGATTTAACCTAATTTTAGGAAAATAATAGGAACTGAGGAATCTATGTTTCGCGTTGAATGGTAAACATTGACGATCTTTCTTGTTAATGATGGTTTATATACATCATTTCAGGACAAGATCAGTGCAGAAGTTGATAGAGACTCTTGGGACTCGTCAACAAATTGCTCTGATTGCAGCAGCTCTTAGGCCATGGCTCCTTGATCTCATCAAGGACATCAATGGAAATCACGTGATACAGCATTGCTTGACATGTCTCAGGACAGAAGATACTGAGGTGAACTTTTTTCATAGCCAGCTAACTTTTACGATCGAATGCCTATCTTAATACTATATAAGACATGATTTAATGTGTAAGAGTGTTTCTTATCTTTCTCTAACTTACAAGATGGATTATGGTAAAAAACTGTGGAACTTTTGTAAGTTCAGTTATCTTTTCTTCTTTGTATGTTTTTCTTTAACTTGTTTTCTATTAGTTTATTATTATGCAAGAAATATTTCTTTCTGCTTGGACGTGTATATCACTTTATACTTTCTAATCTTTCTGTTAGGCTTCACTTTGTTTCTAATTTCATTTCTCTTGTATGTTTATGTTCGGTCTTTGCTGCATATTTATATCATTATCTTGTCCGACTAACATGGCCAGGTTTGATCCTATGGTGAAGATGCTATATGAATACTCTTGGATAATTACAGATACTGTAATGTTTCTGCATAGTATATTTCAAATTTCTGGATTGTACGCTCCTATTTTACCACAAGATAATTTAGTTTGTACTTTGCATGCATATGGACAAGAACATACTTATACTTGCAGACTAGAAGGGAGAAAAATGTGTGTATTGTATATTAATAACTCTAAGGACTTCAGTCTGAATCGTTTCTGGAAATTTTTTTTTATTCAATCTTTTCTTTTTGTGCATGCATGCACGCATGTGTGTGTTGTGTTTTTTTTTGGGGGGTGGGGCAGGGGGGGATATGTGCATTTCTGTGTGTACTCTTATGCTACTCTTATGACCATGACATGCATAAATAGAGGTGTGCCTGAGGGAGCGCTCGTGGAACATATCCTGATAATAACATAGAAATTTATATTATTTTACCCTGTTATGTATTTTCTAGAATATGTATCATCTATGCTTCTAGCCGCTAGGGGTGGAAATGAACCAAATAATTAACAAATAATTCGATAATTGTTCGAATAACTATTCGGTCATATTTGATTCGGTAGTTCATTTACCATTAAACGAATATTTTTTAGTATTCGAGTTTACTAATGAATAGAATTTAACCAGATGTATATTCGATTTGTTTGTCTATTAAATATTCGTTTAAAATTTGATCACAACTCATTATTTGTATTATTGCACATATGATGTCATATTTTTAATCTACTTACCATTTCTACTTAAGTTTTATATACTGATTTTAAGACTTAAATAACTTAAATCTGTTTTCTAATTAAAATTTTGATTTAAATATATATACATCATATATTATAAAGGAATAATATTTATTTATGAATTTTAATACTATTTGAAAATCAAATTCTTTACCGGAATAAATATACTTTGATATTTGATAAGTATTCGTGAATATTCATGAATATTTATCAAATACCAAGTATTTGAGTTCGAATTCAAAAAACCAGATATATGAATATTAGAGTCCGCATTCGAATTCTATAATTTTAAAGAAATACAAATATGAACACCTTAGTATTCGATTCGCTTCGATTGTTTACCACCCCTACTAGCCGCGTCGCTTCTGTTTCGTATTTATATGTTTAGAATTTGTGATCATCATTGTCAATGTTCCATGCATTGTATGCTCTCATGTGTGTCCTTACTTTTGGATGTAAGAATCACTAACATAAAAATTTGTTGCAAACCTCAGAAACTGGACAGAAAGAAATTTCCAATACAAACACATATAGGATATAGATAGCCTACAATACAGATTTTCCTATATGGCATAGTTTGAACAACAGGGACATATACGTGGACAGAAAGAAATTGATTTTTACATATATAAACAGGAATTTTCATAAGTTGGATTCGAGACCACTAGTAAAATTAGGTTCTGAACTCTGATCATTAAATTGTCCACCTACTGCCACCCCAATTGACCATACTTGGAGGCAATGGAAATAAATGGCTTTAGAAATGTGATCTATTCTTTTGTAACAAAACCTAATAAAAAGTTATCACTGCTAAGAATATGTTGCTTATTCACAAGTCTTCTGTGTTAAATAATCATAGAAACCCATGATCTTTGCATTAAACTTACTCAAGTTGAATTTAAGCTTGTTCTTTTCCACACCAAGTAATATGGTTTGCCGATTAATCTACTTTTCTTGTAATTCTGGTTTCCTAATTCTTCTGTGACTATACGTAACAGTTCATACATGATGTCGCCACAAAACATTGTGTTGAGATCGCAACTCATCGGCATGGATGTTGTGTCCTGCAACGCTGCATAGGTTGTTCCACTGGAGAATGTCAAGCAAATTTGATTGCGAAAATCTCTTTCAATGGACTACAGCTTGCTCAAGATGGTTTTGGGTAATTGTTTTGTTTGCAATTTGAGGAATTATAAATGTAGTTTATATATGTGCTAAATGGAGATGGATGAAGGATGTATAGATGCATTGATGATTTTGAAGATATTAACTGTTCTAATTATAGCATATGAAGTTATGCTGCTGCCGCTGCTTTTTAAAACTCACTGTGTCAAATGTCTAATATGTTTCTTGCTGATATTCCTCCAACTTACTGTTTTTCTATTCTTCCATTTTCAGAAATTATGTGGTACAATATATCATAGGCAACCATCTTTCAGCCCATGAGAATTTGGCATCTCAGTTTGAAGGAAATTACGTGCAACTCTCAATGCAGAAATTTAGCAGCAATGTGGTGGAAAAATGTTTCAAGGAGTTCGGGGAAGATGTTAAAGCTACAATTGTGGTCGAGTTATTGTCAGCTCCCCATTTTGAGCAATTGCTGCAACATCCTTATGCAAACTATGTTATCCAATCTGCTCTTTCATACACCAAGGTTTCTATCACCAACCCACTTTATTTTAGCTTATAACTTATATTGGTAGTATGCGATATAACCAAAAGAACTGTAGGCGAACTGCATGTTTAGAAGGCCATTCGTGTAAGAAACGGATCTTCCATATTGATCACCTATATCATCATCTTCATTATTGTCATCTAAGATTCAAAGCCTGCTCCCGATATTCTTTCATTAAGATGTGCGCGCGTGTGTGTGTGTATGAAGTTCTGCTATTGTCTACTAACCTGTACTTAAATCTCCAGATTAGTGAATCACTAGCTAACAGGCTTAAGTAAGAGGGGCTTAAATGCTTAATAGGAGATCAAGTGTCAAATTCCACAATCCAAATGGTTAAAGTCATTAGAATAACTTTTTTTTTTCTTTTAGGATATTATTAACAGTACATGAATCTTGGGAATGTTTATTAGAATATAACCTGGCTACAAAGCATTCTAACAACATTTTCAATTTCTAAATCAAAGTATTAGAACTGTTTAAACTTCTTATATTCTAATCAAAATAACTATATATATGTTTTCATATGGGTTTTGCAACTAACAAATTGCAGTCTGTATTTTATGGTATGGCCATCATTAAATGGAAGTTCTCAAATTATACATACATATATCATGTGCATCAGATAAGTATATAGCACATTAACATTCTGATTCTCCTTTCATTCCTTAATGCAGGGTGCTACATATACTGCACTAGTTGAAGCCATCCACCCTCATGTTGCAATTCTCCGTTCCAGTCCATATTGCAAGCGAATCTTCTCGCGCTTGTCAAAAAAGTCTTGTGCATTTTAGGACAGTAAGCAGCTCGATCTGTTGTTGTTCAGTGACCAATAAATCTTGTCATCCCTTTTGTTTAGTAGTGCCGAGTAAGTTGTCGGCTTGTGTCTAGTATTAGCTTATAAGTACCGTCGGCTCTCTCTCTCATCATCTCTCTCTCGTGCTCTCTCTCTCGTGCTATATATATATATATATATATATATATATATATATATTATATATATATATTATATATAATTATATATATACTATATATATATATACTATATATATAATATGATAAATTTATCTCTAAAGTTCGTATCATGGTTGGAGCTGCTCATGTATCTGATGTCAGTGTCATGTATTAAAACTTATGTTCTGTTTCTTGAGATTGTAACTGTACAGTGTATAGGTTGTGGTCTTCTGGGGGAGTAGCTTTTGGAAATTCAGCTCGAACTTTGTTAATTAATCTGAATATTCTTCTGAAGTGGGAATTGATTTTATTGTATTATTTGTTTGCCGATGTTTTTCATGGTTGAAGATGTAGTCACATACTTATTTTATCATGTTGCAGGAGAAATTCATATTTTATGAGACCCATATAATCTGTCTGAGTGAGGCAATAGGCATATGGATAGAAGCTTAATGAATAGGCTTGCATTGTATAAGAACACAAATCGAACAGACGCATACAAAAGATAGACGAAAATTTTTCTTAATGCAATTTTATTCATAAGAGATACACCACAACCCAAACAAAACGAGTAGAATAGCCACGTCAATATCTCAAAAATATTTTAAAAGAGAAAGACAAAAATTATGTGGAATATATTCAAATAAGCATCATCTAATTTTTTTTATAACTAAAACTTCTCTAATTAAAAGGAATTCAACGTTCCTTAAAATTTTCAAACTCTTCAATAATAACATCAATGCTCAGACTTTTAGCAATTTCTCTTTCAATAAACATCATTAATGAGTCTGAGAGGAAAGCATCCTCCATTTTGCTTCGAAGCCTAGTTTTGACGTATGAGTTTTAAGATAAAGAATGAATATATTTTAATTTTTAAGGGAGGAGGCTTTACAGAAACCACACTATCTTTTTCTCCAAAAAAAAATTTTAGGGGGGGTGCGTGGCCCCCTGGACTGTATATAGATCCTCCCCTGCATTTACTTATTCTTTTTCATTATTACTGACAATATACTCTTTAGGTTTTTGAATTTTATTTTTGATAGATAAAAAATTACCTGGAAAACCTTCATTCCTCTTTTATTTCTGCATGATTAAGTTTATAATAACACAAATCCAAACAGAACAGCTTCCAATCAAAACATGTTCAAAAGTCTTTTCAGATCATGATGTGTTTTTCATCTTTATACGTGATTTTCTTTCATATATAGAGCATTTACTTATTCTTTTTCATTATTATTATTGACAACACACTCTTTAGGTTTTTGAATTTTATTTTTGATAGATGAACAATTACCTGACTTGATTTCTCTTTTGTTTCTGCATGATTAAGTTTATAATAACACAAATCCAAACAGAACAGCTTCCAATCAAAACATGCTCCGGTTTTCTGAGTTCATGATGCGTTTTTCATCCTTACGCGTGATTTTCTTTCATATCTAAAGCATTTACTTATTATTTTTCCATATTATTGACAACATAGTCCTTAGGTTTTTGAATTTTATTTTTGATAGATGAAAAATTACCTAGAAAACCTTCATTTCTCTCTTATTTCTGCATGATTAAGTTTTTTTTCTTTTGAAAGTTCAACCGGCCTAACCACCTTGAACTCGGAGTGTAAAGCAACCTGACCAAATTTAACTTTTTATTCCAAAATTGTGACTCCTAACAGCTTGAAATTACACATATAATATTTTGTGTCTTACCCTTATGTCAATTTTGGTCATCCGCAAATGTAAGTGTATTTGTACCTAAGAGAATATTGCACAATGACATCCTTTCTTTAATGAAGTCAGTTGTGACCTGAGGACTTCTAAACACTAACACAACACAAACTCAAGAATATAGCAAACAATCAAGCTGTGAATACTGACATATCATTAATTAAGTTATCAGTTGGTTCTTGCAAAGCCAAAAACACAAGGATAGGGCAAATGATCACTGCTTCAAATACCAGGATCTTCTTATTTGATTACCATAGCATACCACCGAAGAGTTTATGTTTTCATGATAGATATAGATTTCATGCATCATCTTGACCAATAAGCGCGAGTAGAAAATCCTCATAATCTCCAGTTGTATCCTTCTTAATGGCTCGATCCAGTGCCACGCTGTTCCTTTTGTAGTACCCATCTTTGATCAGCTTCATGTCAACCTCAGCACGAGTGATTATGACTCGGGTTACAGCATCCTCATCAGTGCCCATCTTGTTGATTGAGAGACGAATGATCTTCTCAAAGTACTTCTCAGGGCAAGTGATGGATTTTATGATGGCCCTTAGTGCAGAGAGGAATTCATCCTTAGGATCGGCCTTCAAGTCCTGATAAATATAATCGATGATTTAGATCAAATATTATGAAGAATATAATCCTAAAACTGTATATGTTGGCAATGCTTCTCCTTCATCCATAACTACCATACATGGATTATACCCTTCTTTTTTCGACCTTTTAAAACATCAATAAGAATTTCATACACAGAATAGTGAACAGAGATAAGCTGTGAGTATAAAAGGTAAATAATGTAAATAACAATGCAAGAACATATAGATCTTAGTTTAAAATTTTGAATAAAATGGAGGAAACTGATTTATCACAAGTTTAAGCAACTATCAATATAATGGGAACATGAAAAAGCTTAAGAAATTTTGCTAATGATAAACGGTTGTAAAAGGATTATTCAAGAGTTGTATTTACCTTGTTGATTGGATTGCCAAACTCATTGTTGTATTCATTGAATGTCGCAAACAATTGCGCCTTGCTTCTTGTAGTCAAGACCCTAATGATTTCTTCATCGCTATATGCCTTCTCTGTGATCTTCTCATGGAGTAGCTTAGCCTCGGATTTTGCCAGTGATAAGTTCACTTCTTCCCCCTCATAGCGCAATGCAGTCACAAGTGGAACCAAAAGCTGGTAATTCACAAAGAGAGGTCAGATAAACCATGCTCCCTGATATCTGTTTCTTTTTTCTTAAACAGAATTGAAGTTCAAGCGTAAATGATAAGAAATAGTGATAAGTTTACTTGCAGCAAAAGCTAGTTATCCGCATGCTGTATTAGAGATGTTGACATTTACTGTGTAATGCCAGTTTCAGCCACGAAATGGAATCAAAGAAATGAGGCAAAAACACTTCTATGAAGCATAATTTAAAAGCCCGATATAACATGAAATACCACTCAGAGTTGATTAAAGAATATTCTCAAAGACTAATAAAGTTTGATTTTTTTAATAAAAAATACTGGAAAAAAACCCTGACTTTTCAAGGTAAGTTGATGATTGTGTTGACCATTTGTGTTTGTGAATGGAGAAGTCATAGGTTCAGGGTATTTTATCAACATGCTAAATAAGAGGAATTTCCTCCCATACGAAATATCCACCTCTTACTAAAAATGATATTTTAGAAGAAGTGATAAACAAGTTCTAAGGTTGATGGCATTGAAGACCAGGGCTCCATATACAATTCATGACAATCATTTCTCCGTTCACATACTTTCTTTGTGACTTTATGTGCCCTACATTTCGGTCTCCTCGTGTATCAGGACAAGAGCTCCACATAACATCCTTGATCATTTCTCCATTCACATACTTTCTGTATGACTTTATGAGCCTTATATTTCGCTCTCCTAATGTATCAAGACAAGAACTCCACATGCTATTCATGACAATCATTTCCCCATTCACATAGTATCTTTATGACCTGTAAAAAAGTGCTGCTACGGGGACCCAAAATATGAGACCAAGGGAGGGGACATGTGAGGTGTCCCCTCCCTATTACATAATGAGTTGGACATGCCAACTCAATGCAATAGGGAGGGGACACCTCACATGTCCCCTCCCTTGGTCCCATATTTTGGGTCATTAAGTCATTTTCCCCTGAAAAATTCCTCAAGGACCAATAGGGGGGACAAGTGAGGTGTCCCCCTCCTATTGGATAATGAGTTGGCCATCATTAATGATGGCCAACTCATTATCCAATAGGAGGGGACACCTCACTTGTCCCTCTTATTGGTCCCATATTTTGGGTCCTTGTAGCAAAGCTCTTATGACCTACTATACTTCGCTCTTCTCATGTATTGAGACAAGAGCTCCGCATACACCTGCTGCCCTGCAAAAACATATATAATTCCGTCATTCACATACTTTCTTTAGGGTTATGTTGCCTGCATGTACTCTTTGTGAGACATGCATGCATCAATGAAAGTGATTCTTGGAGGACTCAACAGTAATTCACTCAATTGGCATGAAAAATATCAATCAGACTGAAATAACCAGTGAATATAACCAGCAATTTAAAAGAATTAGCACAATTATTAAGGAAGTTTCAGTCAATGAACGTTTTTTCTTTTGGAAAAATAATAGACTGTGAATTTATATTCTGCAGATGATTACCAAATGGTCACTAACATAATCATGAAACTACTCTTACACCTTTACATTTCTATGAGACAAAACTAAGGTAAAATCAAGAGAAAACCATTCAACAACATTAGAAAATTTTATATTAAAAAAAGCTTGCAAAAATATTCATAGTCCACCTTCTCTCTTTCCTAAAAAAGAAACCATTCTCTTCCCTCCTCCTCAAGCACTCCCTCCACGTCCTCTGTATCAGTTGAGGCAGCTCCTCATCCACTACCTCACCCTAATTAAACTAATTTAGATGATAAATTAGTAGCTTAAGGAGACTAAGAAAGGGATTAAAAAAGATTGCATCCTAGCCAGATGGCATGTTTTCTGTCGGAGTGGTTAAGAAGGTATTTTCAAGGTTTAGGACAGTTTTTTTAACAAACATCTGGTTTGTTTGAAAGTTCATGATGTATTTTTTAAGGTGTCTAGTACTAATGTGCAAGCATCCCAAGCAAACATAAAAAAATAGTAGTCACAAATCATGATTACGACCAATAAAAATTATTGTTACCTTCCGAAAGTCACCCTTGGTATGGGCAGCCACATCCTCCTCAAGAGACCTCTTGTACCGAGCATGGTAAGCCTTTCTCACCAGTAGAAGCTCATCAGAGCTCCTGGTGCAGGCTATCTCTATCAATGCCCTGTCATTTGCATGCCACTTTTTAGTGGACTCAAAGGCCAGCAAGGCATCCCTTTCTGAAGGATCCAGTGTCCACAAGAGCACAGCTCTCTGTTACCAAAGCCAATCACACATGTTAGTACGTGGGATAAATCAGTGAAATAAACGTGATGAGCAATGTAAAGTAACTTCAGGATGAAGGTAAAATTCAGATTTCTTAACATAAAGCATAAAAGCTATTATTTGTCATCAATATATTTAGTCATGCAAACAATTGATTTTGTGATGTGACTAAATTTTGAAGGCATAATAGTAGTAAAATTTGTTCAAATACTACTCTCTGTGGACACGTTATGCTACAAATAAGTTATAAGGGCCATTTTGGCAAACATGAGTTAAACTAGTCTTCCACTAAGCCACTTGACCCAGGATGGAACAAAATAGAACCAGTTTAATTACCGAAAATTTAGTCTGTTTGGGAAAACAGACCCAAGTTCCTTTGAGAAAAATTATACCTACTTTGGCCTAGTTTCCCTAGACCAAAAGTGGCCCCTAAAACTAGTTCTATTTTGATCCACCTCCCTCCTACCTCGAAAAGGACAAGTTAACTTAAAACAGAGCCACGGTCATTCCTGACCAATTTTGAGGAGTTTGCAAAACAAAGCCTGAAATTTGAAAGGAAAAAAAAACTGGAGCAATCTGGGCCCAGTATTTGCCAAACACAAAACACACTAAACCAGTCAAGGATCAGGCTGGCCCTATTTTAGGTGGTTGTCAAACACCCCCTAATAAGTTTATGACAACTACCTTAGCGGCTACTTTCAGAAATAAAGAGCAGTAAGTTTGTAACTTGTTCAAGATCATTAGATATCCCTTCATGAAACAATGTTTTTCTTTAAATCACTAAAAAAAATAGGAGATTGAATTTAGAACAATGAACTCCTGTATAAAAGATATTTTATCATTAACACAAGGATTAGGGGTTTTACAAGCAATCTAGTCGGATTCTCAATTCTCATTGATCTAACATAAGCATATCTTCTGTCTTCTCTTCCATTTAGAATGATTCCATGTAAATTGTCGACATGATCAAAGAACTGATCTGTAGTTGTATAGATAATTATTTTTTGTAAATGTTTCTATGAATTTTATAGTTATTCCATGGTTTTAGCAGAATACTTCCATTGTTTCCCTCAATAATTTCATATACTTTATGGATTACTTTTTGCTGGGTCAAACTTTCTTCAGGCACAAAGAACCCTGAAGACAATTTTGTTGTATTAGCAAAACCAAATAGAAGTAACTTTTTTCAGAGCTACAACTAAGGGAGCTATTGTATTTTGCGAAGATATAAACGACATAGATTCAATGTCAAAACCAAATACATGCTATTATGTACTGTGATATTTATTTTAGCTAAAAGTATCTATCATTAACAAACTTTCTAAACTTTATTGGAGTCAATTAACGTATTGATAAATCTAATTGAGTCGTAGTTCTATGAAAATGGTCTGTTAGAAGCAATCTATATGCTGAAATCATTCCATATCTCAACTGTCAACTAGTACTCACAAAATGCATTTCATATGAGGCAAGTAAAAAAAAACAAAGAAACTTGTCATATATTTATGGGTAAATTACATTAAACCCCCATGAACTTTTAGTGTTTTGCAGTGAAACCCCCATGAAATTTCAAAATCAAACAAAACCCCCAATAACTTTCTGGAATTGCAGAAAATCTCCACGAACTTTCTGAGTTTTGTAGATAGCCCCCATAAACAAGAACCAAAAAAACAACATAAAAAAGACATTTTGAAAGTTCACGGGGATTCAGTGCAATTTAACTAGAAGTTCATGGGGGTTTTCTGCGAACGTTATTGGGGGTTTAGTGTGGTTTTGAAGTTGACGGGGGTTTACTGCAAAACACTGAAAGTCCATGGGGTTCATTGTAACTTACCCTATATTTATCCATTACTCAAATATATAGCCGGTTACGTTTTCAGTGAGTGAATATATGCTACAGATCGAATAAAAGGTTAATAGAAAGCACAAATGGAAGGTATAAGAAAATAGGTAAGGTGGAAAACAGTTTTGTCAAGGGACCCTGCCAGTTTTGGTGACGGGACTCTCGCCGCAGGGGTACCAATTCTTCTTTCTTTTTTTTTATAAACCCCGTTAAAATTTGTGAACAGCAAAAATTCGAATAAGGATTCCTCTGATACTTTTGTTATAGGGCATTGCCACTGTCTGAGGGTTGAGGGTAGTAATTTTATATTCTAACATTAATACTGAGAGTCTAAAGAATCTAAACATAGTTTCCCCTGGAAATGAACTACCGAATATTAACAAACAAGAAAGAATTAAACCTCAAAGTCTCGGGTGAGCTCCTTGTCGACCGCCTTGAGCAGATCCTCGCCGAAAACATCAGCATAAGCCTGACGAATTTTCCGACGCTGAGCGGCGTTGCGGTGAGCCAGGATCGAGATTATAAGCCCCTCGTTCGTCCCCCAACCTTATCAACGAAACAAAAACAAAAAGTTTCAAAAATTAGGTGCAAATAAATTTTATAATGACCAATCGTGGTCTTTAAAGATCCGATGGCGTTGGAGACCTGCGAAAGCCTTGCGGAGCTCATCGGCGTCCTCTGATGGGGATGGCACGTGACTGGGGACTGAGATCGTCGCCATTGCTTTTCCGGTGATCGGGATCGAGATCTAGACTCTAGAGAGAGAGAAGGTGAACGTCTTTGG